AATGGTAGCCACAGAGACACAGGGAAAAAACTGCTGAAGTGGATTTACTCCAGGTTCCAACTTACTATGAAGAGTGGAGGGCCAGCAGGTGGCGTGAAGGATACGGTGCAAGATCCCACGTGGCCAACTGAGCAGTTGAGTCCCGGACCTGGAAGCTTGGGACACATGCTGGGTGCATGTCCTGAGAGAATGAGAGAGAGGACTGCAGTGTGACCAGCCCCTGGAGGATGATCTCTCTCTCAGGCAAATGCACGCACTCTCTGGCGCGCGCCCACACACACACACACACACACACACACACAGAAAGTACGAGCTGGAGTATAAGCAGATTCAGAAGATGATCAGACAAGGCAAAGCAAAACTGATCATCTTTGACAACTGAGGGAATCGGAAATAGAGCACTCTGCCATGCTGGCCAAGAGCGGTGTCCATCACTACAGTACACACCACACTGACGTGGGCACAGCACGGGGAACACGACAGAGCACGCACACCAGCCGTCATTGGCCCAGGCAGTTCCGACAGCATTTTAGACAGCATGCCGAAACAGGTTGGTGACTAGGAAACCACGCAACAATTTTCTTTAATAAAACTTGCCAGGGTTTGCTTAAAAAAAAAAAAAAGAAAGAAAAAGACAACTATTTCAAATTAATGGCTCCATTAAGGATCATTATAAAAGAGTTTCACCTAGTGAAATCAATGACATTCTGCTTTTTTGAAACACAGAATACTGCTGGCCACTTCCTTGGTACTGAAAACTCCCTTCTTCCAATGCAGTCCCTCTCTCCCAAACTCTACATGTATTTTTGTAAATAGACCAAAGTAGGGGCCAGCAAGTGGCATGCTGGTTAAGGTGCTAGATCCCACGTGGCCGACCCTGCAGTTCAAATCCTGAACTCAGTGGACTGAGAATCACGGCCAGCATGTGTGCGTGCACACCCAACATCCCAAGAGGAGAATGGAGGGCAAGGGATTGTGGCATGGCCATCCTCCCTAGGGGGTGATTTCTCATTCTCCTCCCACCCCCTGTCTCTTCCTAGCAAGGGCCCATGCCTAATGGCAAAAATAAAATGTAAATAAAGCAATATAAACCCAAGTAGGCAATCTAAACTAGGGAAAAGTAAGGGACGATAACAACAAAAATGCAGACAGGATCAATAAATAGAAATATATTTAATTGGGGACCAGCAATTGGCGCAATGGCTATGTCGCTGGACTCCTATGTGGTCAACCGCGGTTCGAGTCCCAGATCCGGTGGCTTAAACTTACACTAAGTGCATGTGTGTGTGTGCCCAAGATCCCGAGAGGAGAATGGAGGAGAAGAGATTGCGGCGTGGCCATCCCTCCTGGGGGTGATTTCTCACTTCCTGTCTCTCTGTCTCTGTCTTTCTGGCAAGTGCACGTGCCCTGTAGTAAAAATTTCTCAATAAAAAAAGAAGAAATATATTTCATTGGTCCTATAAAGTTGCTGGAAATTAACAGCAAATCTGACTCCAGAGTTATCAGCGGCCAAAGGGGAAAATAATAAAATCAGTTCAAGCACATTCTGTCCCTAAGGTAACAGTTTCTACAATTGCTCATCAAAAAAGCATTGTTTATTTCCTGGAATATATTCTCAAAAATATTCCACAGTAGTACTACAACAAAGTGTACCTGGCTGAGATTTCCACAGAACACCGAACAGTGCAAACATCACAGTCAAACACGGCGGCAGCAATTTTATGAAGCTAAAAATAATGCAACTTAGGCTTACAGATTTCTGATAATCAAACAGTAAATTTTACAAATCTAAAGAATGCGTAGGTTGTTTGTCTTTCAAGGAACTCCTCGTAAATATTATGTCTTGTAACTTCTGATAAGATTTGTACAAGCAACTCCTCATAAATATTATTTCCTGTAAGTTCTACTGAGACCTTTTCGGTGAGCAACTAATCCAAGGCTGCATTCCAGACGTTTTCAGTTCAGATATTCTGTGCTGTCAGTTTAGGGGCAGAGGGTAACCTGTCTCCCATATTTACACCCCGCCTACCCTTTCTAGCAAGGGTACCTGAAGAAGCCATCCACTCCGTCTTCTCCCCCTCACCATGAACTGTCTCCTTAATCTATACAAGCTGGTTTCTACCCCTTGGCACACCACTGACACGGCACCTACGGAAATCTCTAAAACCTCCATTTCTTGGACATTCACCCCCTGCGCGCAGGCTCGTCCTGCCCCCACACTCCCCTCCACTTCTGTGCTGCATCTCCTCTCCAACCCTCTACCTCTATTGATTGTTGTGCTGACACTGTGCAGTCTCAGGCATGCTGTCATATTCCTATTGCATTCCTCCACACATCTGCACATGCGTCTGTCTACCGATGACAGAATCTGCAGGGCTTACCCATATGGATTGTGGGCCAGCCCATGGCCTGGCGGTTAAGGTGGCTGGATTCCCCCATGGCCCACTGCACAGCTGAGTCCTAGGCCCCGGGGCTAGAACAACATGCCAGGTGTGTGTGCGTGCATGTGTGCATGCCCAAAATACCTAAAGAAGGGAGAGATGGAGAAGGGACTGTGGCATGACCCTCTCCCACAGGAAGTGCTTTCTAACTTTCCCTTTCTCTGTATCTCTATTTTTGGCAAGCATACATATGCTCTAGCAAAAGTTTTAAAGATAATATATGTTAAAAACCCATAGGGCCAGCTGGGAAGGTGGAGATTAAGGTGATTGGCTCCCACGTGGCCAACTCTGTGGTTTGAGTCCCAGACCAGCAACTTGAAAAACATGCTGGGCATGTGTGCATGTGTGTCCAAAATCCCAAAAGGAGAATAGAGGAGGAGGAACTGCACCCGGAGGCTTTCTCACTTTCCCTCTGTCCAAACATGCTGGGCATGTGTGCATGTGTGTCCAAAATCCCAAAAGGAGAATAGAGGAGGAGGAACTGCACCATGGCCACCCCCCGGAGGCTTTCTCACTTTTCCTCTGTCCGTCTCTCTTTGGCAAGCACATGCTCTGTAAAGAAAAAAAAAATAGATTCTAACACTATAATTGACCAGGTTTAAACCCCTTCTTTAGCACTGACTTAATCCAATTATACCAAGGAATGACCTAGATCAAGTTATCTAACTCGAGCTTCAATTTCCATGTATGAGAAGAAGATAACACTGTTCCCCACCACATACAGTTGTTATGAGAATTTTAATACATGTGAAGTGAGGGCCAGTAGATGGTGTAGAGGTTAAGGCAGCTGGATCCCTCCCTCTCTCCATCTCTGTCTGTCTCTGGTGAGCACACAGGCCCTACAGAAAAAAAATAAAACACCCTCCGGAATAGTTTCCTACTGTGTCTGTGATGCCCCTGGAGTGACTGACACATACAGCACAGTTGTACAGTGGTATCTTGCCATGGTACTGAATCAGGAGGCCATTTGAAAACGGCTTGTTCTTGGGGAAAAGTAGTGGTACAGCTGGAATGCAACCAGGCCCTAGTGGGAAAGGTCTTGGGTTTGCATCCCAGGATCTCCCAGAGTGCACTAGGGGGACACCAGCTGAGAATGAAAACAGACCATGGCATGAAGACCCTATTCTGGATGTCTGTCTGTCTCTCGTGGAATAAATAAACTTAAAAAAGTAAAAAGCTTTCTGCTTCTAAACTACATTGAAGGGCTTCAAGCAGAGCAGGACACGGGCAAGTGCCACCTCACAGGCTTCTCTCCTGGGCTATAACAGCAGTGATGCAGAACACAGACCTTGCTTCTAGCCAATACACAACTTTGCCACAAGATTTTCCTGATTTCAGAGTCAGGCAGCCTCATGCAGGAGGAATCATATATAATCATTCATAATACTCTTTTGGATACAGAATTACTTTATTTATTTAGGGTTTTGCCATAGGGTATGTGTGCTCACTGGAGATAAACAGAGACAGAGAGACAGTGAGAGAGGAAGTGAGAGGTGTGCCCATGCCAGGGATAGGCACACCGCAATCCCTTCTCTTCTAGTCTCCACCTGGAATTTTGGCCATGCAAGCACATATGCCTAGTGTGATTTTTCAAGCTGCCAGGTCTGAGACTCAAACTAAGGTCAGTCATGTGGGAGTCCAATGCCTTAACCACCGGGTCACCTATACTGCCCCAGTTACTTCCATTTGAACTACACTGGAAGCCAGCAGGTAGCGTAGTTCCAAACCCAATGACTCAAAACTCACATGTGCATGTGCATGTATGCCCCAAATCCCACGAACGAGGAAAGGATGGCAGCATGGCCATCCCCTGGGAAAGGGGTGTGATTTCTCACTTTCTGTCTCTCCTGCGAGTGCACGTGTCCTATCGTAAAAAACACTCTCCCAAAATGAATAAGTAAATTGCACTGAAAACACAAAACCAGAACAGGTTATGGCACCGTGGTAATGCAAGTGGAAACACACGTGAAGGTCTCAGGTCACGCCCTGGGACTTCCCTGAGCACACACGGTGGCGCAGACGTGCCCACGTCAGGTGAGCCGAGACCAGAAGTGGACAGCGACGTGCGAGCCCTGTGAGGGGCGCCTATTTCTGTGTCGGTCTCGCTCATGGAAGAAACGGACCAACTTAAATATAAACATGTGGTCATTATTTCTCAGGATACACACAAGTTACTCGACAGAAAATGTCCTGCCTCTCGGTGGATTTCCATCACTACTCAATTATCAGTGAGGAAGCCAAGGAACATTAAACATGAGAAACTCAGACTTACCTGGAAATCATCCTCCTGGATATGGAAAGAAATGCCAAGAACCCTCAACCCAGTTCAAAAGCTGTCACTGTCATTTTACAAAAACGCAAATGTCAAAGCCAAGAGTAAAAACAGAGCAGCTGCTCGAACGTGTCCTCGCTCCCTCACAAAGTGGCTGAGCATCACGTGCGACAGGTGTGCAAGCACTTCACAGACCAGTTACAGAGCCGCGAGCTAGCACGACTGACGACTTTCAGGTGTGTCACCAAGATTCATTTTTTCCAATAAGACCTAGTATCTCATCTTACCTATTTTCTTTTTTTGTTGTCGACCAGCTGACTCTGTTATTGTTTCCTTCTTCTTTTCCACTGTGAACGACACAATAACAAATCATTAAAAATTAATTATACATTAAAGTAACGGGGGTGTGCTAACACAGTTGAACAAATGATAGAAGCTTACAAGAAAGTTACATTGACTTCTGCTTATGGTCCTGATTAAGTTAGCTGGCTGTTCCCACGACTGCTGATGGTAAAAGGTAAATACGGTATTATGAAAATAAAACAATAATTCTACATGTCATCAGTCAAATATTTATAAAGAACTTTTTTTTTTTTTGAGAGGTTTTCGCTATAGGGCGCGTGCGCTCGCCAGACAGACAGAGAGAGACATAGAGACAGAAAGCAAGAAATCACCCCCCAGGGGGGATGGTCACGCTGCAATCCCTTCTCCTCCATTCTCCTCTCGGGATCTTGGGCACACACGCACACGCGCCCGGCGTGAGTTTTAAGCCACCGGGTCCAGGACGCGAATCACAGTTGACTATGTGGGAGTCCAACGACATAGCCATTACTCTAACTGCTGGATCCCAAGAACTCTTATCAAGACATAATAATCATCAAAATTGGGCTGATTTTCAGACCATCAAGTGAGGATAATCGTCCATCAAAGGGCAATTTTCAAATTCTCTCTCAGGGAACTCTGGTTAATTGTAGTTTCATTCTTTTATTTACTGTAGAGGGTAGGAATTCATTCAGTTACCAGCTGCCTAGGGAACAGGCACTATTCTAGACAGCTTAAAAATTTGATTCTTGGGAACCAGCAGTGAAGCTACAGTGAAGTGGCCCCACAGACATACGTACGCGAAGGTAATAGTAAGCTTTTAAAACTGAACTGCATACATATACTGGATGGCTGGAAAAGTCATGACGTATTTTATTCCATGCAAAAATGCACCATGACTTTTTCAACAACCCAATAGTTACACTTCATATTTATTACTTTTACTTGTATGTATTTTTTTCAAAGTTAGTGTTTTGTTACTTATTTATTTTTAGAATTCTTCATTTAACATTACTTATCATTATTACTTTTTAATTTGCTATAGGGCATGCATGCCTGCCAGAGAGACAGAGAAAGAGAGAGAGAGAGAGAGAGAGAGAGGGGAAGTGAGAAAGCAAGCCGCCAGGTCTGGGACCTGAACTGTAGTCGGCCATGTGGGAGTCCAGTGCCCTTAACCACCATGCCACCTGCTGGCCCCATTTTTATGTATTTTTTTAAAAATTGTCAGAGGGCACATGTATTCTCCAGAGAGAAAGAAAAAGACAGTGAGAAAGGAACCCCCATGGGAATGGTCACATCACAATCACTTCTCTATTTTGCGCTCCTTCTGGGACTTTAGGGGCACACATGCACAGGTGCCTGGAGTGTTTCTAAAGCCACTGGACCATCAAAGCACGTAAGTGGCCATACAGGATCCAGCTGCCCTACCCACCACACGTGGACTGGCCCTACACTTACTATTTTAACCATCTGTGAATGGATAGGGATATGTCGAAAGCTACCCTCACACACCTTATTTCCAAGATCTGTTCCGCATTCTGTCTTAGCACACTAATAAAAAGCTATACTGTGCAGGCGTTCTTTCTAAAAGCTGCATTAAAGAGAATCAGTACATAGGCCTCTTTTCCTTTGCACATTAAGTTTATTGCTTGAGTTCTAGCTTTTTCTTTATTTTTTTAAGTTTGCTACAGGGCATTTGTGCTCACTGGAGAGAGATTGAGACAGAGTGTGAAAGTGAGAAATCATCCCCCCAAAGGGGATGGCCATGCCATAATCCCCTCTCCTCCACTCTCCTCGCAGAATTTTGGGTACACATGCACACATGCCTGCCATGTTTTACAAGCTGGACTGGAACCATGCAGTCGGCCATGTGGAATCTAGCCACATAGCCTCCATGCCGCTTGCGGGCTCTGCCTGAATTCTAAAAGCAAAACTGGTATTACTGCTTTATTGAACAGACTATTTCAGTAAATGAGAAAAACTAAAGTATATATATGTGTGTGTGTATGTGTGTGTGTGTGTGTGTATTATATATATAATACATACAAACATATATATATATAAAACTTGGTTTTTCTTTTTCTTTTTTTTATGGAGAGGTTTTTGCTATAGGGCGTGTGTGTTCACCAGAAAGAGAGAGACAGAGAGAAAAGAGACCAAGAAATCAATCACCACCCCAGGGGGGATGGCCGCGCCGCAATCCCTTCTCCTCCGTTCTCCTCTCGGGATCTCAGGCACGCACGCACACGTGCCCAGCGTAGGTTTAAGCCACCGGATCCGGGACTCGAACTGCGGTCAACTAAACGAGAGTCCAGCGACATAGCCATTACGCCAAATGCTGGTCCCCATAACTTGATTTTTCTAGCAAAACTGTTTATCTGAGCATGTATTAAATATACATTATTGGGAAATATGAGGTATTTCTGTATACTTCAGTTTGACCCCAACATAGCAAATGAAATTTAAAGTGCTAACCAAAGGATTCGGCCCCAAAGTCCAGTAGTCAAGGAAGCCGGATTGCACATGGTCAGCTGCGGTCTGAGTCCCACACTGGCACACGTGCATGTGCACCAGGGTCCTGACCAGGTGCAGAGGTGAAGGAGAAGGCGCTGTAGCGTGGTCACTCCTCATAGGCAGGTGCGTCCTCACACTTTCTCTGTCTTTCTTTGGCAAGCGTACATGGCCTCTCGCAATTACAAAAAATACAAACTTTGGTGGAGTCTTTTTGGAAAATAATGTATGAATCAATTTTAGTGCAAAAATTTTTGAAATCCATACTTTTTAAAATCATATGCATTTCTTCCATGAACTTTTTGAAGATATTGTGAATTACTCCAAGTAAGTAAAAAAATAAAGTACCAACATGCGACAGAGGAAAAAATAAATAAAGTACCATATAGGGAAAAAAAAATTTAGAAAGAAACTACTAGTATACACTCATAAAAGGAAATTAAAGGGGGACTGGCAGATGGCATGGTGGTTAAGGGACCTGGACTCTCACAGGGCCAACCGCGGTTTGAGTCCTGGACCTGGCAGCTTGCTTTCTCACTTTCCCTCTCTCTTTTTCTCTCTGTTTCACTCACTTTGTCCCTTTCTGGTCAAATTAAAATAAATAAATAAATATATATTTTTAAAAAAAGGTTAAAATTGGGAACCAGCAGTTAGCGTAATGGCTATGTCGCTGGACTGCCACGTAGTTGACCGCGGTTCGCGTCCCGGACCCGGTGGCTTAAAACTCACGCCGGGTGCGTGTGCGTGCGTGCCCAAGATCCTGAGAGGAGAATGGAGGAGAAGGGATTGTGGCGTGACCATCCCCCCTGGGGGGTGATTTCTCGCTTTCTGTCTCTATGTCTCTCTCTGTCTGTCTGGCAAGTGCACGCGCCCTATAGCGAAAATCTCTCAAAAAAAAAAAAAAAAAAGGTTAAAATTAAGGCAAATTCCACAAGATGTTACAGAAATAAATAACATTTTAAAAGACAAAGTGGACAAAAATATTGAATGTTTTACTCTTTTTACTTACAAAAGAAATCAAAATATTTCTCTCCTACCCAGAAGATCTATACCACAACTACTTAGCATTTAACCATGACTGTATAAAAAACAAGGGCAAAAAATAAAATTAAAATAAAAAAGAAGGCTAGAGAAGAGAAACATAAGATAGTACTATAAACATCAACCTGAATTGTAGCACACTGGGTTGTGACTACATATATTTTTTCCAGGAATGAGATAATCTAATGTTTTTCAAATTTCAGTAGGTTGTGAAGAAATCCTTGTACACTGATATTTATTCACCAGAATTTCACCCCATACAAGAAGTGGAAATGTGAGAGTTGACAAAAATAAAAGGTGTCTACTAAGAAACATTTCTGTCCATGACCTGGTATTGCTAACTTCTGAATTCCAGAATTCTGTCAGCTTGTTTATAAATTATTTTATAATCTTTAGCCTGTTTCAAACAAAAATGATGTTGTAAATAACACAACTACCTCGTCCTCTGCAATGATTTATACTCAATGAATGCTCGGACACACAATTTTGTTACAGGAATCAAGTTACGTGGGTGTGTGTATGTATATTTCGCTCTCAATTACTGGAGTATTTCATTATTTGTTTTTTTTTTTTTTTTTGCCACAGGGCATGTGCGCTCACCAGACAGACAGAGAGAGACAGAGAGACAGAGAGTGAAAAATCACCCCCCAGGGGGGATGGCCACGCCGCAATCCCTTCTCCTCCATTCTCCTCTTGGGATCTTGGGCATACACGCACACGGCGTGAGTTTTAAGCTACTGGGTCTGGGACTTGAACCGCAGTCGACTACATGGGAGTCCAGCGACATAGCCATTATGCTAACTGCTGGTCCCTCATTATTTGTATTTTGACAGTAACACAACGAAAGGAGAATTACCATTTTTGGAGCATACCTACAAGCCCCGAGACTGCATGCATAAACGAACTTGCTACTTTAAAGAAAGTTTATTTTTTGTCAAAGACCCCATCCAATAGGATTGCTTTTTCTTTTTTTAAATTATTTTATTTAACATTATTTATTATTATTATCATTATTTTCACATGAGTTTTGCCAGAGAAAGACCGAGAGAGAGAGAGAGAGAGAGAGAGAAAGAAAGCCGCCAGGTCCGGGACTCGAACTATGGTCAGCCATGTGGGAATTCTAGCACCTTAACCACCACACCACTTGCTGGCCCCTAGGATTGCTTTTAGAATAATACCGATACTCTGTAAAGAATGTCAAAGATCAGATCACAAGAAAAGAAATCTTTGATTCTGATTCATACCTATTTATGTCTTCCATTTTCTTCAAACAGCCTACGAATTTCCTCGGATAGTCAGGTGGCATGGTGGTTAAAACAGCTGTATCCCACAAGGGGACCAAACCAGTTTGAGTCCTGGACCCAGTGGCTTAAAACTCACGCCAGGCGTGTGTGTATGTGTGCCCAAGATCTCGAGAACAGAATGGAGAAGGGACTGCTGCATGGCCATCTCCCCAGGGGGTGATTTCCTCGCT